ATACTTTTATCCTATTAACACACAACTTACCTTATTGCACCTGTTTATAAGCATACAACATACAACATAACCAACCAATAACAGATGGTTTGTTTATTTAATTTGATGACACAACAAACGAGTTTCCCCTCCTAACCTGCCCTAAAAAAGGGGTATTAACACGGGAGCTAACTGTGCCAGTATAAAAGAACCACTCGTAAATGGCGGAATTCCTGCGTAAAATAAAAAGGAAAATACAGCGTCATGTACTTCCAGTAGAAGTTATGGTTTAATATAAAACCCTATAACTTCCCCCCCCCCATATGTTCATACTCAAGGTATATACGTTACGAAAGTTTTAGTGCGTAATCTCTTTCACTTTACGTTGTTTACATATTTTTGACTTGGTGATGACTCTCAACCCACAACACAACCAATCAACATAAATCATTCAAGTAATAAAACATTCCAATTTAATTATTGAATAATTAGTGACCACATTTTATTTAATGTTGAACCCTTTTAAAACTACCTCAGCATTAAATAACACCTTAAGGGAATAAAACACCGCAAATCCTATCCCTCGGTGTTTAGAGCACCTTAAGTGCACTAGGCACTATAATATATAATTTAATCGTTGTGTACATAGACACTTAAAAAGCTCCTTTCCCATGCTTATAGCATCAATAAAAATTATATGAACCATCATAAAATTCCCTTGTTATATTCCAAACCAAGTTAAATATTTAGTTTAATTAAACATGCTCTCAATCTTGCCAATAATAAAAGTGTGGTTTATAACCCACGTGCCAACATAATTAATTCCAATCATCAATTCACCACAATAATCCGTACTTCACAAATCAATCACCAACATCAATCCAATCAACAATTCCAACCAATACCTATCATGATACTACCTTGGAATTAATTAAACAAAGCCTAGCATGCTTCTATACACTTAAATAATTACCAAGTACACGAACGTACCTCGAATATGATCTCAAAATCGCCACGAATACACAAAATCACTCACTTGGAAGTCTCCTACAACCCAAAATTAAAAAGAGACAATAATACCTATTTATAACAAATTTGCAGCAATATAAACACTCTTTAAATCATTTTTAAACCTTCAAAATGCTGAAAATTAATTTAAACCACCTACTTTTATTCCCAATTAATGGGTAATTAAAAATCCTCTCAAGAAACATAATTCTAGCCTTTATATAAAAATTCCAACATTATAAAAACTCATAAACTTGCAAAAATTTTGTTTAAAAACATTAATTTCAATAGTTTTAATCAACTACAATCAAATCCCATCAATAAACATTAATTTAGAAACCTAAGGTTTTCAATTTGGGGTTGTTTAATTCACAAACCAAATCTGAAAATTATATACATAATAATCATTATTAAAATATCATAAAATCATCACACACACCCAAAATCAATAATTAATCAAGGTTGGATTAATTTAAAACAAAAGAGAGAAAGAGAGAGTGTGTGTTTTTTTTAACACAACCGCACGCACGTGGAGGGGGATGCTACCGCCCTCCACGCCGGTGGCGGCGGTGGTCGGCCGGTGGGAAGTGGTGGTGGCAGCCGGCCACCTTGATGTGTGTGCGTGTGAGTAATGTGGGGGAGAAGGGAAAATTAAGGGGAGAGAAAGAGAGTTTACCTTTGGGTATTCTCCACCTTGGGCAAGGTCTAATTTGCTCATAAGATGGGTATTTATGCCCCCCTCTCCAAAACCCTCCTAACTTAAATTCCCCTTCTACTCTTAATGATTCCTTCTCCTATTCAAACTAGTCATTGACTTTGTTTAAAATTCCATCGACCTTAAAATAAAATATTTCCAAAACGATTAAATAAATAAAAATGGACCTTTAATTAAAATAAACCTTTTTAAATTAATAAAATACCATAAATAGTTCATTTCAAATTATTTAAATACTTCATAAAATAATGTTTTAAATTAAAATATGTATAAAAATACGGGGTATTACAGTCTACCTCCCCTTAAAAGAAGTTTCGTCCCGAAACTTGGGTAACGAAAAATCAAACTTTTTCCTCACTTTGTGTAATATTGTTGTACTCTTTTGACATATTGTTACCTTTAATGTCTCCTTGAAATCAAAAGTACTCGAAATAACCGTTTAAAATGTGCAAAAAGCACAAAAATAACTGAAAATATGGGGGAAAAAGCGCGAAAATCTACCGTATTCTACCCCCCTAAAGAAAACGTGTTACGTCCCAATAACTCAATATACATCAAACAGCTCTGGGTATTTCTTTTTTATCTCATCCTCAGCTTCCCAAGTTGCTTCCTCATATTCTTGGTTAGGCCATAGCATCTTAACAATCTTAACGTCCTTGTTGCATGTACTGCGCACTTTATTGTCAAGGATCTTCGCAGGTCTTTCCTCATAAGTTAAGCTTTGATCTAACTCAATTGTTTTAGGTTGTAGCACATGTGACTTTTCAAGTATATACCTTCTTACTGCGACACATGAAATACATTATGCACCTTACTTAACTCCATAGGTAAGACCAACCTATAAGCTACTTTACCTATCCTCTGTAATGTATCATATGGACCAATATACTTTGGGCTAAGTTTTCCTTTCTTCCCAAATCTCATAACACCCTTCATTGGTAATACTTTCAACAACACTTTGTCACCAACTTCAAACTCTTCTTCCCTACACTTTAGATCTGTATAACTCTTTTGACGATCTTGTGCTGCTTGAATCTTAGCTTGAATCTCTTTTACCTTTCTAACTGTATCTTCAATCATTTGAGGCCCTAAGATCATTGTTTTACTTATGTCGTTCCAACATACAGGACTACGACACTTCCTTCCATATAATGCCTGAAATGGAGCCATACCAATGCTCACATGATAACTTTTGTTATAAGAAAATTCAATTAAGTCCAAGCTATCTTCCCATACCCCTTGGAAGTCTATGACACAAGCTCTCAACATATCTTTCAAGGTTTGAATAATTCTCTCAGTTTGTCCATCTGTGGCAAGGTGAAATGTTGTACTCATCTTTAGTGTTGTACCAAAGTTTTCCTGCACACTCTTTCAGAACTTTGAAAGAAACCTAGAATCTCCATCAAACACAATATCCTTTGGAACTCCATGTAACCTCACAACATTCTTAATGTAAGGTTTTGCAAGTTACTCCATTTTCAAGGTCTCCTTCATTGGTATGAACACTGCAGATTTGGTAAGTTTATCCACCATGACCCAAATGGTATCATTTTCACTCTTTGACTTGGGGAGGCAAGTCACAAATTCCATCGAAATGCAGTCCCACTTCCATCCAGGAATTTCCAATGATTGCACGGTTCCTTGCAGTCTCTTGTGCTCTATTTTCACCTTTTGACAAGTTAGACACTTTGCTACAAATTCTGCAACTTTATTCTTCATTCTAGGCCACCAATACATCTTTTTCAAGTTTTTATATAGTTTATCCCCTCCAAGGTGTACTGAGTATGGTGTATTGTGTCCTTCCTCCATCAATTTTCTCTTTACTTCCTCACATTTTTGTGGTACACACCATCTACATTTGTACCTTAAACTCCCATCTTCATGGATTTTGAAATCTGTAGCTTTTCCTTGCTTTATTTTCTCACGAATCCTATCCAAATTTACATCTCCTGCCTGATTTTCCCTTATCTCATCAAATATTGTTGGTTGAATGCTTAAATTCGCGAGTATACCTGCTGGTACTTCCCATTCCACCACTTCTAGGTTCATTTTTCTCATTTCCCTACAAAATTCATCAGCCACTATCAAAGTGTTCAGTCCATGACTGGTTTTACGACCTAAAGCATCTGCAACTACATTTTCTTTCCCTTCATGGGATTATATGTCCAAGTCGTAGTCCGTTGCAAATTCTACTCATCTCCTTTGGCGCGAGTTTAAATCTCTTTAGGTGAAGATGTACTTCAAGCTTTTGTGGTCTGTGTAAATCCTACATTTCACCCCATACAAGTAATGCCTTCAAATCTTTAGTGCAAAAATGATTGCAGCCAATTCTAAATCATGAGTAGGGTAGTTTACTTCATGAGGTTTTAACTGTCTTTGACGCATATGTAATCACCTTTCCATTTTGCATAAGCACGCATCCCAAACCATTCTTGGATGCATCATTATATACATCGTAGATCCCACTATCATCTGGCAATGTTAGAACTGGTGTTGTAATCAACCTTTGCTTTAAAAGTTGAAACGCTTCCTCACACTTCTCGTCCCACTCGAACTTCTTGTCTTTCTTCATTAGAGAGGTCATAGGCTTAGCAATTTTAGAAAATTCCTTCACAAAACGCCTATAATACCTTGCTAAACCTAAGAAACTCCTATTGTCAGACACTGTCTTTGGTGTAGGTCATCCCTTCACTGCCTCGATCTTTGCTGGATCTACTTCTACCCCATCCTTGGATACAGAGTGACCCAGAAATGCTACTTTCTCCAACCAAAACTCACACTTGGAAAACTTCGCATAGTTTTATTCTCCCTTATAGTTTGTAAAACTTCCCTCAAATGTTACACATGTTCCTCTTTATTCTTCGAATACACCAGTATATCATCTATGAACACTACAACAAACTTGTCCATAAATGGATGGAACACCCTATTCATCAAGTCCATAAAGATTGCTAGTGCATTCGTCAATCCAAATGGCATTACTGTGAACTCATAATGTCCATACCTTGTTCTAAATGCAGTTTTGGGAATATCTTCGTCTGCGATCCTCAACTGATGGTATCCAGACCTTAAATCAATCTTGGAAAACACAGATGCGCCCCTCATATTGGTCAAATAGGTCATCAATCCTTGGTAATGGATACTTGTTCTTTATGGTGACCTTGTTCAACTCCCTGTAGTCAATACTACATAACCTCATACTTCCATCCTTTTTCTTAACAAGCAACACTGGAGCTCCCCAAGGCAATGCACTTAGTTTAAAGTACCCCTTTTCTAGTAAATCCTGCAGTTTCTCCTTTTACTCACTCATTTCTGCAGGTTCCATTCGATATGGTTCCTTGGAAATAGGTGTTTTCCCTAGGACCAACTCTATTGTGAAATCCATTTCCCACTTAGGTGGCATCCCTGGAATCTCTTCTAGGAACACATCTAGAAACTCATTCACCGATTCTATGTTCTCAGGCTTAGTTGTCTCTTCGTGGTTCAAGTTCCTTATACTACAAAAATATACTGGATGTCCCTTCTTAATGTACTTAGCCAACTTTATCATAGATATGATCCTTGGACACTTTTTTTCACCATGCTTCCAATGTGTTACCAACTCACCCTCAACTGTACTTAACTGTACTTTTTGCAATCGACAACGAATCTCCGCACTGTACTTGCTCAACCAATCCATTCCCAAGATGATATCAAAGTCACTCAACCCAAATTCAATGAGGTCAGACAAAAATACTTTTCCTTTGATCTTTAATGGCACATCCTTTAAAGTTTTGGTACACTGTACTACCCCTCCCGTAGGAATAACTATAGGTACATCTATGACATCTACGGTTTTCAAACAGTCGATAGCTTTGAAATAATGGCTTTTGAAATGAAAGAAAAATTTGCGCTAGAATCAAACAAAACTTTAATAGGAATATAGTTAATAGAAAAAGTACTAGTAATAACATCCTTCGTAGTATCAACTTCATGCCTACTTATCACATTCAGCTTTCTTGGAGCTCTACTCTTCACCTGATTATTCCCATTATTGTTGCCTTTCACCCCATTTTGTTGTGCCCCTTTGTTCCCTGCATAGTTTTTGTTTCCCTGAAAGTTCCTTTGAGCCCCTCCTTGATTATTGCTCTGCTTGTTTCGGTTAGAATTTTTGGAGAAGCACTCATACTCCCTATGTCCCAACTTGTTGCAAGCGCGACAAGTAACCAAGTTACCCTCACAATCCTTACCAGGGTGATTATTTCTGCACCTCTTACAGAAATAACGCCTTTCATCCTTATTATTTCCCTGGTTAGAGTTCTTAGGCCCTCCATTGAAGTTTCGTCCACCTTGACGATTGTTACCCTAGAAATTATTGTTGTTGAAGTTGTTGTTGTTGTTATGGTGGTACTTTTGCTTCTTGAAATTGTTTTGGTTACCTTGCGGGTTCCCAGCGTTTTGTCCCATATCTTTCCTCTTTTCCTTCCCTTCTACTTCAGCTAATTCTTTCTTTTTCTTCAACTCCAACGCATAAAGGTGTGCAGACCTCCCATAAACTTCATCTAAGGTTTTGAACACTTGTCCACACAGCCTTAGCTGCAAATCAGTGGTCAATCCACTCTCAAACTTCCTAGATTTTGCCTTTTCTGTAGCAACAGACTCTTGGAAAACCTTGATAGCTCAATAAACTTGGTATATTACTTAGTGACTGACATATCTCCTATTGCTAGGTTAGAAAATTCCTCGGCTTATTGTTTTTGTAGCAAACTAGGGTAAAACTTGTCCCTAACGTTCTCTTGAAACATAGTCCAATTGAACCCATGTAGTGCTTTAGTGGTAGCCTCATTTTGTTTCCACCAAAGGTTAGCTTCACCTCTAAGGTAATAGGTAGCACAACCCACTTTCAAATTTGGGAATCCTACTTCCCCAAACAGTTTCTCAAATTCCCTTAACCAGTTTTCCAGTATTGTTGGATCAGGTTTGCCTTGATAGGTTAGTGGCTTGCTTTGCGCCACCTTCTTAAACAGTTCCCCCTGAGCATCCCCATTGTTAGTCGAGTTTCTTGCCAATTGTTGAGCGACCACTGCCAGCTGCCTTACAACTTCACTCAACTCATTTCCTTCATTATTGCTCCCACTTCCTCCTGCCATATTTCTTCTCCTGAATTAAAACAAGGGGTCTTTATTAATTATGATCATGGTTAGCTCTCAAGTTAGAAATCCATCTAACTAACTCATACCTTTCATACACACATTTAATTTAAGCTCACAAATTGAGGTTGCAACAATACAATTCCCAATTTTGCAGCTTGATCAACCAAATTTTGATTGCTAACCAACCATACATTTAATAAAGCATCACAATAATAAATAAAAATAATTCTCATGGTTTCCCAGAGTTTAGAAATGAATTATTGGAATATTTGTGTAAGAAATGGCTTATTGGAGTAGTGATATAAAATGAATGATTTGGAAATTAAATGAATTATTTGGCAGTAAAATGAATTATTTGGTAAGGAAATGAATAAAATTTTATTATTGAGAAAGAAAATGACTGTAAAAATAAAATGAGATGAGTTCGAATAACCTACGCAACTCAACAGGTTTATTTGTTCACTGTGGTCATGCCACTTATTACTTTGTTGAAAAAAATAAAGAAATAAATAAAAACTGCTAATTGAAACCAAGAATCCAAGAAATGAACTACAAAAATCTAGTCCTTTCAAACATTGTCCTTCTGATCCTTTGATTGTTTGTAGTTTCCAGGATCGAATTCAGGGTCATCTTCCTCCTTCATTGGTTTAGGTGTCTCTGGATTTTTCTCTACTTGAATAAGCTCTTCATCTTCCTCATTGTCAGATGAAATGTCAATTATAATTGGAGTTAGGGGAGGATTTGGATTCGGAATCTCCATAATGGAACTATCAACAGTATGATTGCTTTTATCCATTAGCTCTCCTTCCTCTTGCCCTCCATTCGCTCCTGCTTGATTACCCTGTGCCTGATTGATTGCTAGTGGAAGGGGAATTATTCCCTGCTGGGTTATCATAGTAATAATTTGGATATGAAATATGTAAACGCTCGCAGTGATACTTCTCTACTTGAACAAGATAAGAAATCAAGTATCTGTAGTCAGGGTACCACTGTCCATAATAATCTTGGTATTTAGAGTGGTTGGGAATGTCCCCAGGCAAGTAGAAATCAACAAATTTTGCTTTGACAACAAGATATGATGGTTCGTCAGGAAGAAAATGAATTTTCATAGCTGAAACACGATCAGGAAGGTCATACTGCTTGTCCCCTAGGACATCACTCATGTGTGAACAATAGAAACAGATTTTTTTGACATAGTCAAAGGGATGTTCAAAATCTTTCTTAATTAGGGTACCAATTTGTGAGTATTTGCTAGGAAAGATCGACATCCTGTAAAGGAAAAGACTTAGAAAAGAATTCCCTTCCCCCAAAGGAAAAAAATAAAGTAACACAATTCTTGCATGAATTTAGGTTCAATGTTCAATCAAACAATCTTCCTATTTCTAATCACATAATTACATGCTTCCAATTAATCAATTAACATGATCAAACATCACAACCTAAGTATTAATGCATACAAGAACGTGATTATTTCTAACTTATATGCCCCAAATTCCTTCCTACCCAAACTCACCAACATGCTTTTAAAGCTCTTAAAACATAATTCTTACCTTAATCCTTCGCTTTCCTGCAAAATGAACAAACTAAAAATATTTTTGACTCTCTTTTTTTAAAAAAAAAAATTGGAAAATTAATTCCAAAAAGGCCACAATTTCAAGCCATAATTAAAAAAAAACACACATTCAGACACCTCAAGTTAAAAAAAAAAATTCGGATTCTTCCCAATAAAATAAAAAAAATTCGGACCTTTATAAAAAATTTCGGTCCTCTTTTAAATAAAATAAAATGGAATAACTCACTTTTAAAATTACTCAATTAAATAAACACATGGCCAAGTGTAAAACAAAATATTTTAAAACACGTTTTTGGCTTTAGTGGTAATAAAAATCTCAACCAAAGCTCCCAAATACCACTTTGTAACACCCTATAAATTCATTTTCTTTAAAATACCTATTTTGCTCTTTTTAAAATACGAAATAGGAAAATCTAAAACATTATCGTCACTGTAAAAACGGCTAACGCAATTATCAAAGACACACAGCGGAAAACTCACTTTAAAAACCATTCAAAACAAGTCAACTCAAAAAGACAAACCAAACGAAAGTAAAGTCAAACCAAAGTCACCTACAACTTGGAACCATTGTAGGCCCTTACCAAAACCCAAAACGAATATTAAAACCTTTTTGTTAGTCTCACAAGAAAATATATAATAATCAAAGTGAATAAAACACATTATATTCTTATGGAAACTAAACATGAATCGCTCTTCACTCATGCCCATCATGAATATACTTCATCACCTGAAAAGCTTTTCTTTACTTTGTCCCCACTACTCGCCATTAGAAATGGGTCGTCGTAGGACCAAGATAAAGACAAGGCCAAACAAACATTCAAACACACAATCAACAAAGCTGAGTACTTCAGCGTAAACAGTACATACTAACATGCTTTTATCCTACCAACATACAACTTACCTTGTTGCACTTGTTTACAAGCATACAACATACAACATAACCAACCAATAACAGATGGTTTGTTTAGTTAATTTGATTACACATCGAACGAGTTTCCCCCCTAACCTGCCCCAATAAAGGGGTACTAACACGAGAGCTAACCGTGCCAGTATAAAAGAATCACTCGTAAGTGGCGGAATTCCAACACAAAAAAAAGGAAAATACAGCGTCTTGTACTCCTAGTAGAAGCTATGGTTAAATATAAAACCCCATAACTCCCCCCCTATATGTTCACACTCAAGGTATATACGTTCCGAGAGTTTTAGTGCATAATATCTTTCACTCTACGTTGTTTACATATTTTACACTTGATGATGACTCTCAATCCACAAAACAATCAATCAACATAAATCATTCAAGTAATCAAACATTCCAATTTAATTCTTGAATAATTAGTGACCACATTTATTTAATGTTGAACCCTTTTAAAACTACATCGGTGTTAAATAACACCTTAAGCGCATAAAGCACCACAAATCCTATCCCTTGGTGTTTAGAACTTCTTAAGCGCACTAGACACCGCAATATATAATTTAATCCTCGTGTACATAGACACTTAAATAGCTCATTTATCATACTTATAGCATCAATAAAAATTATATGAACCATCATAAAATTCCCTTTTTATATTCCAAACAAAATTAAATATTTAATTTAATTAACCATGCTCTCAATTTTGCCAATAATAAAAGTATGGTTCATAATCAACATGTCCACATAATTAATTTCAATCATCAATTCACCACAATAATCAATACTTCACAAATTAATCACCAACATCAATCCAATCAACAATTCCAACCAAAACCTATCATGATACTACCTTGGAATTAATTAAACAAAGTCTAGCATGCTTTTACACACTTAAATAATTACCAAGTACGCGAACATACCTCTAATATGATCTCAAAATCGCTACGACTACACAAAATCACTCACTTGGAAGTCTCCTACAACCCAAAATTAAAAAGAGACAATAATACCTATTTATAATAAATTTGCAGCAATATAAACACTCTTTAAATCATTTTTAAACCTTCTAAAAATGCTGAAAATTAATTTAAACCACCTACTTTTATTCCCAATTAATGGGTAATTAAAAATCTTCTCAAGAAACATAATTCTAGCCTTTATATAAAAATTCCAACATTATAAAAACTCATAAACTTGCGGAAATTTTGTTTAAAAACATTAATTTCAATAGTTTTAATCAACTACAATCAAATCCCATCAATAAACATTAATTTAGAAACCTAGGGTTTTCAATTTAGGGCTTTTTAATTCAAAAACCAAATCTGAAAATTATATGCATAATAATCATTATTAAAGTGTCATAAAATCATTACACACACCCAAAATCAATAATTAATCAAGGTTGGATTAATTTAAAACAAAAGAGAGAAAGAGAAAATTAAGAGGACAGCAAGAGTTTACCTTTGGGAGGGAGAGGGGAAAATTAAGGGGAGAAAGAAAATAAGAGGAGAGCGAGAGTTTACCTTTGGGTATTCTCTATCTTGGGCAAATGGGTATTTATACCCCCCCTCTCCAAAACCCTCTTAACTTAAATTCCCATTCTACCATTAATGATTCCTTCTCCTATTCAAACTAGTCATTGAATTTTGTTAAAATTCCATTGACCTTAAAACTTTCTTTTATTAAATAATATGCCCCAAAGTTTCTAAATAATAAAAGAAAAAATTTCCAAAACGATTAAATAAATAAAATGGACCTTTAATTAAAATAAACCTTTTTATATTAATAAAATACCATAAATAGTTTATTTTGAATTATTTAAATATTTCATAAAATAATGTTTTAAATTAAAATACACAAAAAAAAAAACGGGTATTACACGCCATCTCGGAGACTCATGTATAGTGCTAACTTCTAACGCCCAGCTCTGACATTTCTCTTGGGCATTTTGTTAAAACACCAATTATGCATATTCCATTTCCTCATGTTTTGAGTATGTTTTTTATAAACATTTCCTTTCTTAACATCTAGCTCGAATCTACTAATTGCAATTTGGTCATGAAATATTTATCCATGCTTCATAGGGAAAGAGTTATACTACCAGCCAAATCCAAAGAGGAAGTAAAATCGACATATCCAACATTGAAGTCATTCATGCAATTCTACAACCTATAATTCTTAATCATGCAATTTCATAAATATGCAGGCTTAGATTTCAAATATATCACGGCTATTACCGTTTTCCCCACGTTTCTCGCTAGATAAATGCAGTGTGCTTAATGCTCAGATTTGTGCACAAATAAACAGTGAGTTGTATATCACGGCTAATACTCGAAGATAATATATATAAGGGTGAAGAAAGTTGCCTGTTTTAGCAGAGTTGAATTTGGTTACGGAATGCGTGGCAGCTCAAAGTTCAAACTACAAAGTTGGAGCGGTGCTCCTACTTGCTTTAGAGTTCATGACGGAGCTATGCAAAACTCATTCGCAAAACCTCGGTGGCTGCGAGCT